TGCTACTGAAACAAGCACCCAAGAATAAGTAACTATGCTCAAACAGAATCGAAACGTAACCAGTGAGGGGGAAACAGGACCCACAGAGGGCACACGGTTCCATACTGAGGCAGCCTCGCTTGCTGGCGTGCTTATTTTTTGGCTGCACACTAGCAATGGTGACCAAAACCAATTTCATTTATAGCGTCCCTACCCAGGATTGAAACATGTAATAGGTAGTCAAATACTTACTTAAAATGAAGATAAGATGGCTCAGTGGTTAAGAGCATTGGCTGCTCTTCCAGAGGACTGGGTTTCAATTCCCAGCACCCACATGGCAGCTCACAACTGTCTGTAACTTGACTGCCAGGGCATCTAACACCCTCACACCAATGCACATAAAATAAATTAAAAAAAAAATGAAGATAAGTAACTCATGTAAAAACATGAACAGAGCTACTCAAATCTTAATGGATTCAAAATAATAATTTAAAAATAATTATAAACTATAGTTCCTAAAACGGCTTTATTCTGTATATTATAAAACACAAAAGTGAAATACGGTAAACGTTGCTGTTCTGTCCCTATTCAAAAGGCATTCTGAATGAGGAGTTCATTTCGAAATAATTTTAAAGTACTGTTCCAAGACAGTCTGGTTTGTTGGGGATAGAGGAGAGTTGTTCATTTGCTTGTATATGGTACCCCACCTTTTCTATCTGTAATCCAATGAGTTTAAGCTTTGCTTGTTCCTCCAAATTTCAAAAAACAGGTTTGGTTCAATAAACAGTAAGTTAAAGAAATAAAAAATTTTATTTAAAAAAAGCCAAGTGTGCTTCAAATGAAAAGTCCCGTTGTTCTTTAAGCACCCACAGAGTGCCAGGTACTGTACAAAGCAGGGTTCTTCATGCTCTTTCTGAGCAACATTGCCTGTTCAGCCCCACTTGTTTCTACCCAATGCTGACGATTCAGCTCCACTGACACAGAGCAGCATCCTCCAGGTTGCTCCAGACACAGACTTCAATCCCGGCAGAAGCAGATCACGAAGCAAAAACACAAGTGGTGAGGTCT